TCGGCATCTTGTGCTTACTTCCTTGCGTACGGATGACAGCTGCGTATGAATTAATTTATTTTGTGGTGCTTTCACTTCCTGAGACAGTTGCAAGCACTGTGTAACTGCCTCGANGACGTCGTTGCCAAGCGACGACAACCCAACCCGGATGGCAAACACCGGGAGGGGGGGGTGTACTCATAGTCGTGCATGCCGTAGTCGTTAGACCATTGACCTCGCATCCCTACAAAGCCGGGACGGAGCACGCCGGGTTCTCACCGGACCAGGCTCTCACATCACCAAGCGCGAAGCGCCGTGAGATATTCGGCGAGTCGCATGAAGGGTGCGCTGCATCCTGCTAAGGATGTTCGGTATCTTGTGCTTACTTCCTTGCGTACGGACGACAGCTGCGTATGACTTGATTTATTTTGTGGTGCTTTCACTTCCTGAGACAGTTGCAAGCACTGTGTAACTGCCTCGAGGGTGCTTGACAATTTTCACACAACGTGGTGCGATCATCCCCCTAGCGCGGAGTGAGGGTTCTCGACCCCGCACAACACGATCTACTCGACCACTATTATGGTTACCGCCAAAAAAAAACAGAAGTACTAAAAAAACGGTAACCTGGTTGCCGAGTTCACGAAGTGAATCGGCTTGTTTTACAACGTCGTTGCCAAGCGACGACAACCCAATCCCGATGGCAAGCACCGAGGGGGTGGCTTGTTTTACAAGGTCGTTGCCAAGCGACGAAAACCCAACCCCGATAGCAAACACCGGGGGGGGGGATTGGTCAAGGCGCACAAGGTGGGGTGCTTTTCGGGGAGCTGGATCATAGGATTGGGGAAATTTTCGTGGGAGCATCGTTTGGTCGTAGGCCAAAGTAGGTAGTTGGCTGAGGCATTGGCAAGATGTTCCGTTTGTCGATACAACGTGTCATACGTCAAGGTGCGGGTTGGACGTTGGGGGAATGTTCCGTTGAGGGTATCGATAACAGAAAAAGTTATGTTCGGGATGGATCGGATGGGCTTCTTTTGTGGTGGTGTTGAAGCTGTCAAGCAGAGAGAGAGACTAATGATTGTCCGCTACAACCCGACAGATTATTCTTGGGTACCTAACACGGGACACGGGAGATAAGCGTAAAAGTTTCCGCGGTGTAGACTCGTGAAAAAAAATGAAGCGAGTGTCGATAGGGCACTCTGTATGGATGATTTCGACAACAAGGTCGATTGTCATTTTCTTTCATGAGGCAGATATGGGATTACCCGAAATGCTCTTTGTGCGACTTCGCTGTCTGGCGTGGTGCCTAGTTTCTCTGCCCTATTTTTCTGCGGTGGCATGTTCCCTGCCTTTTATGTATATATACTTCTTTCCGTTTGGTCGAGTGTGCCCCACAGGGTATGAATGTTTGGACAAGGGAGATAAATTGAGAAATGACAGGGACCTCACGGAGGCCGAGAGAGCCACGTTGTTGAGCGTACTCAACCTTCATATGATGAATATTCACGACAACAAAAAGTATGTTGTTCCCAGAAGGTAGTATTTTCGAAGCAATGTGACAAAGATGAAGTACCCTCTGAACCAATGTCTTTGGCCTCTGGGCTCAGCTCTCCGGCAGCCAAAAACACGTACGCCTGTACATAAACGCCCGATAGCGAAGACTCTGGTCCCTCACTGAACATCAAACTTTTCTTGTTCCCCCGCGGGAACCGAAAGAAGAAAGACATGCTGGAGGGGTGGATCACGCAATGCCCCCTCCGCACTCAAAGAACATACGAGCAGTGCCCTACCTTCGTGCTGCACACAACGGAAAAAAAACTAGCCATACTAAAAACAATGCATGTACCCAACCTATGCCGTGTGAATCAAACCCAAAACGACAAGGCATCCTCTTCATGCGTCGTTGGAAGAGGTCGGGTTTGGTTTGTCCGGAGGGCCTTCACGAGAACTCGCTACGAAACCTCACTCTCTTCCTCTTCTTCTTCCTTCCTCCGCCGCTTTCTCTGCAGCAGGCCTGGTCTTTTTGTAGATTTTTTCGTACGCCTCCCGCGCTTTAAAACTGCGAGGTTTTGAGTGATCCTTTCAATTTTTGTTTTGGGCGCTTCTGCTGCTTTCTCATTTTCCCAACTTCTCTCCCAAGTCATCAACGCGATCGCAGGCAGCAATCAACATATCCACGGGATTCCCGGCGTCGTTGTCCGCAATCTTGTACATCGCCGCTGCCACGCTGTTCGGTGTGGTCTTGAATGCGTCCACAAGTTGGACCAAGGTTTCTTCCGGTTTTACCTTCCCCTTCTCCCTCGCCTTCCGCTCTCGCGGCTTCCCCTTCGGAGCGGGCGGTTCATCCGAATCGCTGGACGACTGCTCGTCTTCCATGGACAGAGTGTTGAAAGCTTCCCCATCCTCCTCGCTGAGCCTCACGCTGAAGTACCTTGCGCAGTGCTCGTTGGCGCTGTCGCCTCCCCTCAGCTCGTACCAGTCCATCATGAGCAGGACGTACAGCCTCTGGTTACAGAAGGACCAGTGGTGTTCAGCGTTGTTCCCACTCTTCTCTTTGTTCTTGTTGGCGATCTGGAAAACATGCATAGCACAATTACATGTGTTGGCATGAAAAGAGGGGTTACAATAGATGTAAGGAGTTGGGGTTCGGGAAAACGTATTTCTGACCGTCCCAACTTTCCCCAAAGGAGATCAAACGCGTTCTAGACACCACCAGCGATGAGCGACGCCTACATTGACAACGTTCACCCAGCACACAACGTACGGGACTATGTCAGATAGTTACCGATGAAACAAGCACGCGACACGTGTGCCCGCACCCGACGTCAAAACAAACCAGGAAGGAGCACACTATGGGAGACTGTCGTCTGGGCGGGGCGAATGTTTCGATTAAGTACTGCACCGCCGCGTGCGTCAGACCGAAAAAACAAAAAAAAATAAGTGGAGGGGTCGTGTGCTACTGGACTGAAACAGCACCCGGCACATATGCCCGTTGAACCCGTTCCCCCCCCCCCCTCCCAAAAAAAAACGACCAGAGGACGGAGCAGAGGAGGGCAGACGGACGTCTGGACGGGGGCAGTTTGTCGACCAACTACCACTACTGCCGACAAAGAAAAGAAAAACAAGACGGGGGGTGGGCTTTCGTTCTGTAACAACAGCACCCGGCATGCAGGAGTGCTGAACCCGCCCCCCGCACCCGAAAAAAAAAAAAGACCAAGGGATGGGACACAGGAGGGTAGACGGTCGTCTGGACGGTCGGGTTTCTTGAACCCAACTTCCACCGCAGCAAAGATCCAATGCGTCCCCAACGAAGGCGGCTACCAACAAAAGGCCTGTCGAAGCACGGAGGTGGGCATCTTGCGCAAGTAGTTCTACAGGAAATCGGAAAATACCAAATCCACCCGCCGTGGATCGTTGTCCGAAACTCACCCTGAACTCCGCACGCATATCCGTCCACCAGCCTTCAACCTTCTCGCGGGCGCGGACCTAGTCCAGCTCTCCGTTCCGCGACCCTTCCTCGAACGTCCATTCTTCCCTCCGCCTGACAACAGCGAGACGTTTGAACGACGAACTCACATGAGGCACTGCACCATAAGCCAAGAAACCAGCGCCCCCGTAATTGATAAAATAAGTGGCAAAAATTAAGAACTGGCAGCTGGCATTCCTACTGTTAACCTGCGAGGCCCGTTTTCAAAGCAAGTCAAACAATAGCTGCGTTCCGCGGGGGAAAGGAGAAAGAAACAGCCGCAACTCCCCGGGCACCTGCCCTTTACATGTAAATAGAAGCGAACCAGCAGCACAACATGTATGTCTCAAATGTGCGACATACTAACGAAATAACAAAACTCATTTTTTCGCTGGATCGTCATAGTCGAGCGATTGAAGCGCCTCCCACATCTTGGGCACTCCGGGTGCAGTGCTGCCGTCGTGTGATTTGGGGTTGCCAGCGCGCACCCCACCGAGCCTCAAATTTTCGTTCACGAAGTGGTCAACAATCTCATCCCAAACCCCATCTGGATCGTTCACCCCTATGGCATGGTTGTCGCGCTTGTTTCGATCCGTGGGCGCCTGTGCGCTGGTGAGGACCTTCTCGTACATCTCGTCCGAGAACACGATGAAGCACAACCTTGCCGCATCCCCGTTGGAACGGCATCTCCTCTTGCGCCCTTCCTCCTCGGCAGAAGCTTCGCCTTCGCTTCCTTCGCCACCCTCTTCGCTTGCGGGGTGCCCTGCGGAGCTTGCTTCCAATCAGGGTCGACACCTTTTGATACACGCCACGCGTCCTGGGCCAGGAGCAGCTTTGCAGCTTCTGGCTTCTTCACGATCGAAATCGACGTGTTGACCTCGTCGACCCCATCACCGCACCGAAAGGTTCCCTCAAGGCCCGCTGCCTCCGCGCGCCTCTTCTTCTCCGTATGACATGCCGGGAGCAACCAGTCGGCATTGTCCGGCTGCTCCTCCAGAATGGGCTTGGGCGGTAACGTTGGGGGCGAAGGTAGGAGTTGCATGGACGATCCTGGCCCTGGCGCGAGGGCCGGCAGCGATCCCGGCCCTGGCGCGAGCGCCGTCGGCGATTCCTGCCCTGGCGCGAGCGTCGGCAGCAAATCTGGCCCTGGCGCGGGCGCCGGCAGGTTTTCCAGCCCCAGCCGTTGCGGAGACGGGGGCGGTGTGGTCCATCCTGCAAGCATGCGCGCCTGGACCACCTAGGGATGGACAATCCGCGCGCTGGGGGAAATCCAGCAGATGCAGGAAAAAACGCTGGCGGAGCTTACGCCGGAGAACCCGCAGCAGCAGCAGCGGCGGCCGCAGCGGCAGCAGCGATGCCTACGTACTGCTGCTGCTGCTGCTGCTGCTGCTGGGGCGTAATGTGCGAGAGATGTTGTGGTGGCGCCGGAGGAGTCATCACGTTTGCGTGTGCACTCCCGCCAGCAGCTTGCTAGGGGGGGGACTGCCGAGGCAAAACAAAGCTTCCCGCCACGCCCGTGGCGCCTCCTGCGCCTGCTGCGCTGCTGTCTGTGTTGGCGCCTCCGGTATCGCTCATGAAGATGTTGCGTGGATTGTGGGAGGAGGAGCGTCTCCTGCCACCTCGTGGTCTATATATTTTCAGCCGCGTTTTCAGTCTATTTGCTACTTCTTTTTTATGTTACCATGTCGAAGAATTTTCGGAACAATAACATCTGTCTTCAAGGTTCGGCGGCGGAATCTGTGGGAACGAGCCAACCAGCGGCATTTGTCTTTTGTTACTTTCGATCCTGCATTTTTTTTGCAAGACCCACCCTCAGACAAAATGCTCAGACAAAAGAGGGTCAGATATTTTGGAGTCTGTAGCCGGTAACGGTTTTATTTGTTTGAGGCTGCCCCACTTTTCACCCACGGCTCAGACATAAACCTCTCACCAACCTCATTTCATCTGAGGCGTGGGTTCCTGTTCAAAAGGCTCAGACATTTGATACTTGAGCAGCAACAGAGTAGCCGAAACCACAACAGATGGCATCGCATGGTACAGACTCGTCCAAGCCTCATATCACCACCACTGGACAGACAGACCTGCTCCTTCCTCCTCCGATGCGGGCGGTGTGCGTCTATGTGTGTGTAGGTATGTGGTGATCGCTGTGGAAGGCTGTGGAAGGAACCGAGGGGATGAGGGTGGGATGAGACATGGTTCACCAGCAGCCTCAAAAACAAGAGCAACTTTCTTGTCTACAACCAGTTCAGGAGAACACCCATACCATGAGCTGTAGGCCACTCGAACTGCTGGGAGGTGGTCCAGAAGTTGCCTTGTGTTACTCTCTATCGGCGCCATCTCCTCTACACAGCTGTTGCCGTTTGGAATGCAGCTTTAAACATCGCTGTGCGATTGTTCTAGGTTGAAGCTGCTGTTGCTGCTGCCTGCTGTTGCTGCAGCTATTTAGCTAGCTGCTGCTGCTGACCGCCGCCTCTCTCTTTCGGTTGGTTGAAGCAGGACGCCACCTGAGCGGCTGAGAGTTTGCTTGCTTGAAGCCTTGACAGGGTGCTTCTCTGCGGTAACAACACCCCCGCTAGATGCTCCTGGCACCTTGAATGATAGATGGCAGCACCCAACCAATAAACCTTTTTTCTTGCTTGCGGAGAAGAGGCCTGGGAAACGGCGCGCGCGAGTCTTTCGGCCAATCAGCGGCGGGCCGTTGCCACGTCATGCCGACAAAAAATCTGAGCTTCTTTTCGGATCATTTTCATGCCAATTTTCATCTGGGCAATTTTGTCTGGGCATTTTGTCTGGGCAAAACGAAACATATTTCCGAAACGCCCCAATATTGTATGAGCCGCTTTTTTTTGGGACGGCCCTAGTTAGACACGATCGGACATTGGACTACTTGTACGGCCTGGAGCAGTGGTGTCTACGATTACGCGGACTTAGTAGTGCTCACCTGAGAAGATCTATTTGAGCGCCTTTTCATCTAACAATAAGATAAAAAGATGTGCCCTCTTTGGCCTCCCCGCTGCTGCCGGCAGTTGTTGTTGTTGAAAAGAAACAACGAATATTTGGTTTTGTTTCGAGGTGGCATCGCTGGTTGAAGGCACGTACATGTAGAGCATTACACACATCCTACCGCTGCAGTATGTGCATCGTGCATGAACTCAAAGAGACCAGCACTTTTCACTCACCCCTCACTCTACTTGAAAAGACTCCAACGTAACTATCTGAGTACCGGCTCAAACCGGTCCCTGTGTAACATTTTTTTGTACATGATCCAGTGTCCTCCTCCTGGTGTCCCTTTGTGTCTCCGTGAGGTGAAAGAGCGGATGTACTTGCAGGTGGTCACAGGCTAACTCGCACGCGTACCGTAAGGACGATGCGAGAGAACGCACGGTTCGGTGATATCGCACGTATACCGGTGACATAGCACCCTCGTGCGATAATAAGACAACACGAATATTGATTTCATTCGATTATCGCACAGGGATCGGTGACATGGCACCGAGTGCTCCGAGTGTGCCGGGACACTCGCTGCGCCGGAGGTACCTCGCAGTTCATCTCGTGCAAGGTGTTGTGTGTTCTGCAGTACGTACGTCCGTGACATGTTGGTTATCGCAAGTATCGGAGTATTCGCACGGGGGGGGGGGTCGAAAGCACCCTGTACTACTGCTGCAAGATTTAGAATTTCCGAATTTACTCAGTATCGCACGTATCGGGGTTATCGCACCCGGTGCGTTCTCTCGCATCCTTACGGTACTACCCTTTCTTTTATGTTACCCTTTGGCCGTTTGAACAGGATTTCAGCTTCATCCTCACCCCTCACGTAGTCTGTTCCCTCTTTATGTCAACCGCCCTGACAAGAAAGATCCACCGGAGCGGCCACCCAATGCTTCTACCACTATTATTCGACAACATATTCCCCCCCCTCCCCCCCCTGCGCGTGCGCGTGCGCGCTCGCGCTCCCGCCCGCACATCCCTGCGCCATAACAACAGGAGTAGCGGCAGCCGTGCAGGGCCAACGGGCTGGGAAAGGGAGCTTTGATCAATATTCTATCAACGGCGAGGCGGCGACCGCCGCCACCCCCGTGGTCGATGAGTGCGTCGTTCCGCCCACCGTGGTCCAAAATCGCGCTCTGCGCGTTCGCATGCGTGTGCTCCCTCGCGTACCTGTCCAAGGCCGCGGTGCACCCGGGCATCGTCGCACCGCCGAAACCGGATGACGCTTCTTCCGTGGAGGGCCAGTATTCCGCGGAGGGCCGGTTTTCCGCAGAGGAACGGCATTCGGCAGAGGAACGGCATTCCGCAGAGGAGCGGCACTCCCCAGAGGACCGGTATGGCGCTGTCCCCCGACCACAGCAAGCGGCGGCGGCAGAGGAGGAGGGGACTAAGGCCGCCGCCCCCGGCGTCCTGGAAGTAGGGGCTACTACCCCGGGGAGTGCCGAGGAAGAGGGACATGGCTCGTTGAGGTCGAGGGAAGGGGAAGAACAGGAGGGTACGTCGCCCGAGGATGGGATCGACGGAACTCCCGACGGCGGCGTTGCGCTTGCCGGGGATGGTGCCAGTAGGTCTGCTGCTTCTGTGGCGGCTACGGTCCGGCCGCCGGCGTCTCCAGGACAGTGCTGGATTTTTATGCACCTGCAGAAGTGCGGCGGGAGCACGGTAAAGGACATGCTTGAAGACAGGTGGAGGTCTCGCTTCTTCATCTACGACTCTATGCGGTGGAAGTTCGGCGACGAGTTCTCGGCGAACTTCGGTGCAAAACTGGCCCTTGGAGACAAGTGGAACGTCATGACCGGCGGGTACACCGAGGCCCTCAGAAGATCGGATCCCGTCGGCGCCGGCTGCCAGTTTTTCACGCTATTCCGGCAGTGAGTGGGCTTTGCCTCGCCATAGATGGACACAGGATTTTGCACCCCGTCTCAACGGAAATTAGTCCTCCCCCCCCCCGCCCTTGCCATGACAACAAGCGGCACTGCTTGTGGATGGGAAGAATATTCTTGGGGAGTTGTCTAGGCCAAGAAACCGATCAATCAACGAAGCCGATCCCCGCCTCGCCTATCCAACAGGACTTTTGTGCCGCGATGTTGTCGTCATGTTCATACGCACATGGTCTGTGGAGTTTTGGCTTTTTTGCTGTCCTAACGCCCAATGTTTGATCCCTCTTCCTTTTGTTGCCTCTCTGCAGTTGTGTTTGTTCGGAGTGCTGTTCGTTTTGAGGTCATACAGTATCGGTTCGATTCCTTCCACCGAGCAGAATAGGCTGGACTATCAGTCCAGGTTCTCGTTCCGGCCGCCGAAACGTTTCAGGTGTTGAGATGCGTCAGGCATTGCGCCGACGATCAGGCAACGGTTAATTGTAATAACGTCTCGGTGTTGCTTGCCTCCTACCCCCGCACCCCTTCCTCGAGCGCTCAATAGCGTCTGCTTGCTTGGTTGTCTGCTGCCGCCTCTGTTGCCGTTGTCATCCTGTCGCCGTACCTTCGTGGTGGCTTTCTCCCTCCCTCCCTCCCTCCCTCCCTCCCTCCCTACCTACCTACCTACCTACCTACCTACCTCTGCCGATCCAGCCCGATCGCGCGTATGGTCTCGGCCTATTTCTATTGCCGGTCCGTCCCGGGCGACGTGGCCTGCGCCTCTGAGGTCGTGCAAGCGAAGGACGTGGACTTGCTGACCTTCGCCAAGCACTGGGGAAACTTCGCGCTCCGGCAGTTCGCGCTAGGCTTCGTGCCCTCCGATGACGTACAGGAGTGAGTTAAAGTTTTCGGTACTGCTGCTGTGTCCCTCATTTCATCATCCGCTCGTGTTTGTTGTTGGAGGAAGCGCGGGTGGCTGGTGTTGTTTTGCTTGACCAACATTCTTTGACTCTTGTGGTCTGTACAAATTGATTGTCGTCCCGCCCCCCCCGCGTTTCGAGAACTGTTCGCATCGACTGATTTTTGTAACCGTTACTCCCGGTATTGTCATGATGTGGCAGGTACATTCGGACACCAGAGGCGCAGGCTCTCCACGACTTTGACCTGCAGGAAGTTGGGGGCTGGTAAGCGCTACGTAGCACTGGCACTAACACTAGCAACAGAAGGGGAGGGGCGCGCGGGTTGACTGAGGAGAAGAGACATGTGCATATTGTAGGTTCCGGCGCTACAGTGTGTGTGTTGTGTGTGAGTTTTTTCGTCCAATTCATTTTGGCGACAGTCCCCCCATTTTTCGTGGTGAGACGTGTACTACACTTTTCAGCGTATGTAGAGTAGTCCATTTTTCAGTGTTTTTTTTCGTACAACTACAACCATCCAGGGTCACACAGGAGGGGGTAAACACCAGGGCTTGTTTCTTCTTTTTATTTATTTTCATGCCCCACCTTCCTCCTGCGGTGCGTGCTGAATTTTATTTTTATCGCGAGAAGGGTCCAGCCATCCCTTACCCTCGTCAACGGTGCTAACGTCCAAATTTGGTACTCACGAGAGCTTCTCAGCTATATTTCGCTTTCCCCCGCACATTTCGTAAGTTTTTCACCCCATGGGGATTCGAACTCACGACCTCTGCAACTAGCGGGTGACGAGGATACCACTAAACCACCGGAGCGACCGTACGAAGGAGATGAACCAGCAGCGACACGATTTTGTAGACATGAGCTGTTTACTTTTTTTCGTGCGGATGGACAACGAGAGGAAAACAGAGAAGGGACGGACATGCTTAATAGGGCAGTGCGAGCTTGGTCCCCGTCCTCATCCCCACGTATACGCTGAGCGTACCGTCCTGCACCTCAACTGCGATGAAGGAATGTCCCCAGAACGTCCCCTACAAGTATGCGCCCCCCCCACCCCCCCGGTGTTTGCCATCGGGGTTGGGTTTTCGTCGCTTGGCAACGACGTTGTAAAACAAGCCAATTCACTTCGTGAACTCGGCAACCAGGTTACCGTTTTTTTTTTTTTCCTCCGTTTTTTTTTTTGGCGGTAACCATAACAGTGGTCGAGTAGATCGTGTTGTGCGGGGTCGAGAACCCTCACTCCGCGCNCCACCAGAAAATAAATTAAGTCATACGCAACTGTCATCCGTACGCAAAGCACAAGATGCCGAACACCCTTCAGCAGGATGCAGCGCACCCTTCATGCGACTCGCCGAACACCTCATGGCGCTTCGCGCTTGGTGATGTGAGAGCCTGGTCCGGTGAGAACCCGGCGTGCTCCGTCCCGGCTTTGTAGGGATGCGAGGTCAATGGTCTAACGACTACGGCATGCACGACTATGAGTACACCCCACCCCTCCCACCCCAAAACTACCATTCCTCAGGTATCAGCTGAAAATGTACCTGGAAAGGCCTCAAAACGAGGATGAGGGTGTGTCGGGGCAGAGAGAGGCAATGACGGCCCACCAGGATGGTGCTGCCACTGCAGAGGCCCCGCTGTACGACCTGCTGCAGCCGGCGATGGTGCGTTCGTTCGTTCTACTTCCCGGACCAGAAAGTAAAATTCGCCGCCAACAAGAAAACATGGATTAATAAATAGTTTTGACGCAGTATACAGGGCTCTTGGCATGACGGACGTGCGCGTAGTCCTTTTTTCTGTTTTTTTTTCTCTTGTTTTTTTTCGCAACTGAAGAGTTTCGTCCTGTACAATCACGTTCTCGCGGGACGCATATTCATACAAGCAGATTTTTGTAGCACCTACAAAATCATGCAACCTGAATATGCATGTTTGATATCTCCGAAATGTTCACCGATCGCCCGCTGTAATATGTGTTTGTTCATGTTGTTTTTCTTGTGTTTTTTCCGCTCGTCACTCTCACTCGCACTCGAAACCGTCAGGACTTGATTCGTGACGGCTACGTGGCGGTTGGCATTCTAGAGCAATGGAATATCACCCTTGAGCTCTTCGACCACGCGCTGGACATGCCGGTGATGAACTGGAAGGAGCAATTCGCCGAGAGCGGGATGCATCACGTAGACATCGTAAACAAGCAGCTCGAGATAGAGACGCTACAGCAAGCCTGGACGGACTCCGAGCTAAAGGGGTATATGCGGCTCGACCTGCTGCTGTATGAGCACGCCGTCGACGTTTTCCACCAACAGGCACGCAGCCACGGTCTACTATAAGAGGGCGGAGTGGGTGTGTTTCAAGGGCCAGGGGCTCGACGAATGGTGGAGGGGCGGGGGGGTGTGGGGGTTATCTCAATTTTGCCGAGGGATATACTCGTTTTTTTTGCGGAAATCGACCGTGTGTCGTCTTCGGCTTGGCATTGCACGTCGTGGAGTTGCGGCCTGATCAGACAATGGGGAAGGGGGAGAGGGAAACAGTCTTGAATATGGAATTCTATGTGGGTTTGTTTCTAGTGCACTCGCTGTCTGCCGTGTTATTGCTTGCATATTTGCGTGTCCGTTCTGATCCTGCCGTGTGTTCGTCCTCTCTTTTTGCACTAACCGGGAAGTCAATCGTTGCACCAGAATATTGTCTTGGATGGAGATAAACGCAGTGCCATTTGTTCGGTTTGATGCGTATGTTTTGTAATTTTCCGGTCGGTTTGTTTTGGTTCGACAGTTGCACCAAAAGTCTCCTGCGAGCAGATACATGCAGTGCTATTTTTTCGTTTTGATGCGTATGTAAAGTATGATTTTCTCTCTGTTTGGTGCTGGTGTTCGTCGTTGATTCGATACCAAATTTCCAGGCGATGTGAAATGGAACTGCATGCTGTGTGTTCCGTACATTTTCGGTGCCTTTGCTACTTTATGTACGTCGATTGCAATAACAGGAAACAGATCCATGTAACGATCGTTTGACTTCGGATGTACAGCAGCACGTGCGTCAGATTGCCGTCTTTTCTGACGCGCTGCATGATCACTTGTGAGATGTCTGTTCGTCCAGCAGTTTTGTTCTTGTTGTGGTGTTTTCACGCATACATAACCTACCGCGCTGTCTGTTGATTTCCGTGCGACTAAGCTCGAAGGGGTCGGTGGGGGGGGGGTATCAGACTTGACATGCCTTGTTCCGCTCTGCATGTGGATGTGGATCATTCGTTGAGGGGGGTGGTAGAGTTGTCATTAGACACGAGTCGTAGAAGACGAAATCATCTATCTCCTATCGTTAACCGAGCACCAAGGTTCGCTTGATATGGACTCCCAATTTTGGAGCATCTGCACACGATGCGTCGAGCGGTTAGTGGTGTGGACAACAGGGGCATGAGGTTCCCTCGATGGCAACAACGTGTAATAATATTTGCCAACTGGTGACCTCTACCCTAGTCAGTATGTTTTTGTCGTTGTTGTTGTAGTGTGGTTCATATGCGTAGCTTCAACGAGTTTAGTTGCTGGAAGGAAAGGATGTCGTGCTCGTCGTGTCTGCGATGTGTTTACTTTCATCTGTGTGATGTTGGAAGCGCTGATGTCCTGCACTTTTTTTTTTTGCGTTTGTGCATGCTTGCCACTCGGCCGTAGTAGAGTAGTGGTAGGCTTTTCTACACGAAAGGAGCAGCACGCGTGAGCGAGCAAGCGACGTCTTTTCGTTAATTGCAGATTTTCGATTCGTGCCAAACGTGCGGCCACCGCACTTTGTCTTTGCTCGTTTATCAATCTCTTTTTGTAATAAACGAGTGGCGGTGTTCGCAGTGCCTTTGCGTGACACTGCCACCGCTCTCGAAGTCGCCGCCAGCGAATTGTATTGCAGCGTCGTTGAAATACTGTCTGTAGCGTTCATTCCGCCATGATGATTTCTGTCTGATGAGCTCGGCGAATCATGATATGTGTGTCGAACCATTAATAATAGTTACAGGAGAAGTACACGGTTATCAATCAGCGGGCACTCAAACAACAGCATGTCATCTACGGTCAGATTGAAATATCTGGATGTTTCTAGAAAAATAGCGAACCCGCCGTGGATGAAATCACATGTCGACCACGGAATTTTCGCCTTCTCCGGAAATTTCCTTTCAACAAATTTGACCAGTCAGAACACCGCGGGCGCTTTTTCTCTCGCTCTTTGGGATGATATGTGTGTACGATATGACACGTTATACTTCGTAGTATGGGGCACCTTTGTTGGATGTACTCACAGCATTGACAGATTATTGCAACCGAGGAACGTTCCGAGAAGATGGAGCGGGGAACTTTTGGGGTTCCGCGGTTGTGGTATATTGGGGGAATGGTGGTACCATCTTTGCCACATATTGTTGTTTCCTGGGTATACGTGTCTGCAACGGTGTTGACCACGTGCACTTGGATAAAAATTTCATCTTCTTTTTCCCGGCTATCACGCTCTGGGCTATCACGCCCGTGTCCACACATACCACGCTGCCAGGCTGTCACGTCTCTAGGCTATCACGCCATCACAACAGCTATCACAGCACCAGCTTCAACACATCAGAGCCATCACGCTCCGGAACATCGCAGATGCGGCGGGTTACCACATCCGCGGGCAGTTTACTGTATTTTATCGTTGCCGGCAAACTAGCCGCGCGGTTCTTTTATTTTTGCCGTCTACAACTGCGCCGGGCGCACCAAGCTACTCAACAACCTTGTTATCTCGGAACGATAGACAGCCTAGTGTTGGATCGCTCTTGGGTGATTGGAGGTACGCATGCGCGTGGGGGGCATGTCGCAGGTGGTGATTACTGCTGCCTTCACGTTGACGGAATGGTTCGATAACTAAATCAACGTGCGGTGACTATTGAGCAAGCCGTTGTCGGAATGTTGATTGCGTACAGGATTCTTCAGAAAACGAAGAGTTGACTTCTCCTATTATGCATATGCATAGAGTAGCTTATGTATCCTTTGGTGTTGCTTTTTTGGCCAGAGGTACACCGGAAGACGGAAGAAGGTCGTTCTGTGGTGCAACCTTAATACTGGATTAGGTTCCATCAAGAGCGAGCTTTCGATGGAAATCCGGGGACTTGGAAATTGGAAAAGACAGCTTGCTGATTTGCACGCCGAACAAACAAAAGCAATGCCCCGCTTTTGGCGCAGGGACAAGGCAGGGAGGAACTGTTCAGCATTCCTCTAAGAGGCCGATACAGTATAGAGGTCTCACAGAACGGGAATAGCAAATGTGAATTAATTAATTAATTAATGATTTTTTTCTGCCCGAAGGCCTGAACCACGCACTTTTTTTAGCCGAACGCCCGAGACGCGAAAAATCACCCCATCCGCCGTCCTGCACTATACGTGAGAAGCCCCTCCGCAAGTTTCAGCTTGATTGGTGCCTTCTGCGTTGACGGTTGGCTGTGTCGGTGACCGGAACTCTCAAACACGAAACACGAGCATGCAGCAGGTGCTGCCGACACCAAATTGCTCCGGTCTCGATCGATTTGTGTCTATACGGTGCCTATCCTTCCCCAAATTGAAGCCCCGTCCAATCGTCGGCTGGATTGACAAGTCTTTCGACGCTGGAATAGCCGTGTGCCTACCGATTTTGCCTGCCAACGAGAGGTTCGGGCCAAACCGCTACAACCTCCTGACGAGGATGTAAAAATTATTTTCCCCGCGCGCGCAAAAATTTTGCGGAATAATTACATCACCAATCCATTGTAGTTTATCGTTATCTCGGCATGTGTGCCCCGCGATAGACTACTGCGTGCGTCTCGAGGTAAACAATATTTGTTCTTGTGCATACGTGGGCTCCAATAGGGATAGAAGCAGTGATTTTTGCAGGCGTGCTTGTGTACCCTAGCAGATTAATCTTGTCAGGTCATCATCTTGCAATAATCCAGCTTTCAACGATGGATGGTTACAAGCGCCTGGGTAAGAAGGGAAGGTTGCAAGCACTTTCCATCCGTCGCGCCGGTCTGGTGAGGCTGAATGTTGGTACGCCCTCCACACACTCCACAGCTTAGCACTGGAAATGCTGCCAAACCACGAAGAAAGGCAAACGTCCCGAAACGCGGTGGATTGATAACGCAGTCATCTGTCGTTCTCTTTTCGTCCCCGAATGTACGTACGCAACGGACCCGCACAACACGACTCGCACACCAACACAACAAAAAACCCGAATAGTTTCCGATTCAGACAAAGACAACCACATTTCTGTTGAGAGCGATCACGGATAAACAACAAAACAAACCCGGAGCACGTCCGCATCCGATGAAAACGTAAAAGTACAAACTCTTCATCAGCCTGAGGGTAGACCAATTCTGCCCAACGGTGGACAGCCCCCCCCCCCTCTTCCGAGCGCTGAACAAAACGCCTGAGAGCCGACGAATGCTGCCCCCAAAGCGTAGTTCCCCCCCCCCCCTCTTCTCTCTCTGCCTCCCAAGTAGCGAGGCGGTCAAAATCACCGGCACGCGGGGGACGTACCGGTTAGCATCACCGTCACTGGAAAATACCGCTAAATCTCTCGTCTCAACTTTGATCCCGTATTTTGTCTCGAGCACCACTCCGTGTGCGTTCCTTTCCTGTGATGATTGATGACTCCAAACAAATAATAAGTAAACAAGCGCATCTTCGGAGACATCGATGTGTCCTATGGTACGGGATCCCGCCAAGCGCTGTGGGCTCCTGTGGTACGGAATCCCGCCAAGCACAGCAGGAAGAAACTGCGACGTGTGTGTGTATATATACCTCGTAAAATCGAAACCTGTAAGCACACCAAGGAACTGCTGTCTCCACGTGGTATCACGGAAACTCCCGAACCACACGCTAGACGACTCCACACACACACGCTGTTCACGCTGTTCCTGCAACCGCTACCAACACACGGCTGTGCCCACCTACAGAAGCACAACACACATGAAGCTAGTAGTCTGGCTCACGACAATAACTGCACTAATCAAAATCAAGCAGGGGGCACCAACAGCCCACAACTAATCGCGACCTCTCTCCTTCACGCTAGGAGCGGCGCATCAAACTGGTAGCGCCGCAAACTTTTACGGGAGAAAGGCTTGGAACGGGAAATCTATATATCTGCGGTTGTCCTCAACGATTCTTCTTCGAGCCGGCGGATACCCATTCCTCGGAGAGCTTCCACAGGTCCTTGCGTGACTTGTCCACGCTGACAAAGACAATGACAATTGACAAAATACGTGCGTGGGAGAAGGGGGGGGTTAACGAAGGAAGTAGAAGGAAGGCGCGCACCATGTAAGCTACGTTGCGAAGGGACCAGGTCGTTGGGTGCAGGTGGGAAAAAGGAGTGAACAATACTCGTCGGTAAGGGCAATGGAGGGCACCGCTGTCTATGTGATACTGCCGATTTTACCGCCTTCATAACAAGGGTGGGCGGCGATGACAGCTCACTCAAGCACGACATCGACAAAGAGAAGACACAAGCGAAATTTGCTCCTGCTGTTGGGCAGGGCAGCACACTTTCACGTCCGTCCTCCTTCTCTTCAGCAGCCCTTTTTTCGCTGTCACGGGCAATCCCCCCCCCAAAAAAAAAACGTTCCAAGAGCCGTACCAAACGCGGCCGTAATTACGTACTTCGTACTAAGGTAGATCTGCCTGGCCGTAACACGCGTTATGTGCACGCGTCCCGCCAAAAACACGTTTCCGTAACAACAACTTTCCCCAACTGTCTCGCAAAAGAGCTGGGATATATCTTGCACGAAACATCCTTCGACGAGGTTTGATCGCCACAAACCACCCTATAATACAAGACAAACCTATACACGCGACTGATTGATGACGAATTTCGAAAAAACAAAACAAAACAGGAGAAAAAAAATAAAGGACAACAACAATAGCAGTAAAGGAAAGACGGATGATGTAGCACAACACTCACGTTACTGCAGGGTTGAACGCTTGGGGCGCGCAGTCCGACATGTATAGGCCGCCCACTCCCGGCGCCCCATCCTCGGTGCCCTTGCGGAGCTGGGGCGTTGTGGCAGCAAATACGCTGCAACGGACAACGGAGGGCAAACAACGAAGATGTTGCGGCGTGATTATCACGATTTGGGGCAAAAGGAGACCATTTGTACCACAATTCCTTTCAAACTATTAACCGCACTTCCACCCTTCAAACCCAGTCAAACTCGACGTCAGCCATTAATGCCTGTGAAAACATCTTGACGTAGAACCAGAATCAGCGATTTTCGGGATGCAATGTACTGTAGATAGGTGAGGATACTCAAACGTGAGGGTGAGACAGCAAGCGTCCGCAACAGTCATTCCGCGCTTAATTCGAGGCGAGAGTTCAACAAGCAACACCGGAACTTGGTGACTTGGAGGGGATCCGTGCAATAGGCTTACCTCGTGAACGCTCCCGCTTTCGGGTGCTTCAGGAACAGTTTTAAGAACGGCTTGAACACCTCGTGCCCTACTCGCAAGAACCACCCCATGTCCCTCGAGATGTTCGTCATCACAATGCCTGTGCCGATGGGAATGGGTGAGGGAAACGCCACACGACACACGAGCCGCGGCAGCAGAAGCAGGAACAGCAGCAGCAGAAAGCAGGTACATGTCGAGTTGGTGACGGTGTAGTTCACGCCATCCGTTGTCTGAATGACTGCCACGATCGGGTGGTCCAAGATCCCTCCAATCGCCCAAAAACAACTCTGACGTCAACTCATCGAGAACTGCAATGAAATTCATGAATACCATACACCGCACGTCTCTAGGAAATCCCATCCCTGGGAAAAAATATTGTCAATCCCCCAACATTACAATATCACGGNACACGCAAGTCAGCCCTGACAAGTGTTTCTGATGTATGCATAATCAAGAGCAAGACGAGGTATGCTTGCAAGAATGAACGAACGGACAACAGCAACAACAACAACAACCTCAGCAATCACCTGGTGTCGTTCCAAGCCCCCGGCCCTCGCCGCCTGGCGCTCGATCCTCAGCATCGCCGCCACGCTCGCGTCGGACGGGTCGCCCCTGTAGCGCGCCGAGAAGTGGTTGAGGATGAGCGTCTTGGCCCCGACCCTCTGCGCGAAGGCGGCCGCCATCATAGGCGTGCTGTGGCCGTGCTTGATGGCTTCGGCCTCGACGTCGGCATAGGTCTTGCCCTAGTAGGGGCATAGAGGGGGGAGCGGGGGAGGGAACGGGAATCGTCAATAGTGGAGTCCGAAGCCCTCAAAGCGGGGAGTGGTGCGGGAGGGAAGAGGAATTGTCAAAAAAAGAGTCCGAAGCGATATGCTCGAGAAGGAGAGCGCGGGGTAGAGTGGAGGGGAGGGGGATCGTGGACTCGTGGAAACACAACCTCGCAGTGCCTGGTGCCCTTGCCAAACGTGCGCTTCGAACTGAAAAAAAAGGGCGCTGAACACGCGTTGCCCGCCCCCGGATCCACGGCAGGCAACGGCCTTGGCAAGGATGTTGGAAAACTCAACATCGCAACAATCAAGAAAATATTTGTTGGTTCTGTTGGGCTGGAAAACAACGACAGAGGAATACGAATGAAGTCCGCCCGGGAGAATGTCTTGAATCACAGGAATCAAGAGGTACTCGGCCGGATACCTAGAAAACGCATGGTTCTTGTTTGGTACAACCCGTCATAATGTCCCTAGTGATATGGATGTAGCCAACATGGATACAACAACTTCTGGCCTACCCGCGTTACATGATGGGCTATTCTTGCATGCTGCATTTTCCCTACGAAAATCATCTTGTGCGAGCATCAACGGGCAGAGGAAAAAGAACCTCTGCTCTTGGGGCTCGGTTGCTTTACTCCGATAACACACGGCTGACCGGATTCGTGACAAAAAAAACGCGCCCACCCGATCAACTTCTACCTCTCTGTAGCAACACCGTGCCAGCGCCAGAGGCGGCGGAAATACCGCACAAACACCGACGGGGGGGGGGATCCGCACCTGGTCAAGCGGGGGTAGCATGGTGTTGGTGGCCTCGTGGACCACAACGTCGGCCCCCATGGCAAGAGGTACGATGCTCGCCGCATCGCACGTGTCGCCAAGGATCACCACCTGCTCCCCCCAAGGGAGCCCCGCGTAATGAAGAGGGAGGGAGGAGGGGAGGGAGGGAGGGAGGGAGGGAGGGAGGGAGGGACGTGTAGAGGAAAGGGCAGGTAGCATCGGGTGCGACATGTACAAAGCATGCGATACAGCGGCGTCGCAAAAGACTCCCATGACACCCATTCGGGTACTTCTGGTTCGAGCCAAAGATCGGAACAACTACGGCGACGACGACATCAACGACATTAACGACATTAACGACAACCAGACAGGTACCCGCCACGTCAAAACTACCATGGTAGGCCATTTAGTGTTAAGCTGGTCAGCCGGGGCATACATCGGTTTTGCCGGGCATCTCGATTAAAAGACAACGCGTAAACAGCATAGAGTGAGAGTCCAACACGGCCAGCCTGCCCTAACCTTCGCTTTAACTAGTGTTACCTTCTTGTGCAGGCTCGAGTTGACGCACAACACTCGCCCGTCCGGGGACTGCTTGAGGAGGGGCAGCAGCTGCGTCGTGAGAAGGAAGTTGCCCAGGTAGTTGACGGCGAGGTTGGCTTCCAGGCCCTCCTCGGTGACCTTTCGGCACTGTCACGACCACATCCAACATCGAAAACACGAATACGCGGAGGCGGGGAGGGCTCAAAAGAAGCAGAGAGGGGCGAGGTATACATGCTCAGAGGACGCATATATACGGCAGCTGACGAGGCCGTAGCATTCATTTGTACGGATGAAGTATCTACGGGAACGAGACTGCCGTAGCATGCAACCTACACTTTGTACGGAGAAAACATGTGCAACCTACACTTTGTACGGAGAACAGGAGTTTGTTTGCCAGGATCACAAAAAAGTTCAAGGGGGATGGTTAGCGGCTACATATGCCAGCTCCCACGTCACGCCGTGCCACCTAGAACCTTTCGGTACTTGACGGGAACAAAAAAGAGCGGTCCGACGGGGCCAAGACATGGCCTTGAAAACAACGACGCTACTTGGGCAACGTGGACAAAAGTGACACAACCAGAGCAAGCGAAAAAGGAGGGGGGCGCCAGCTCAATAAGCCTTCAATTCTGCTAACGGAATTGCACGTGCCAGCTGTTCGTAGGCGTGGTCTACAGCCAGTGAACATCAACCCTGAGGAGGCCAACCACAAGACAGATGAGGAACGGCCGCAGCAGTCACACATCTTCCACTCCACGTCAAAACAACAACTACAACAACAACATGTTTTCCCCACACGCCGAAGACCTACGCCGTGCATGACGCCCGCGTTAAGGATTAGCGAGTCCAGGCCGAGCTTCGACGCCTTGAACTCGGCGACGAACACCCTCACTGCCGCCAGAGACGACAGGTCCAGCTTCATGAAGGTCAACTGATTGGTCAATTGCAATTGCGCCAGCACGTTTCCAACGGCCAGCGTGTTTGTATCAAGGGTGTTCGACGACGAGGGTCGGGTTAGTGTCATGGCGGTGGTTGGGCTGGTGAAATAAATTCACTTTTTACGAGTGCATAATTGCGCAGCGGAGGACTTTCTTGAGAACAAAATACCGAGTGAAGCCCACGCGATTGGCCGAGAGCGGAAAAGTGAAGACAACGCTGCTGCTGTGCTACTGCCCGGAGAACGGAGACTAAATCAAGAAATTTGGTGCATGACCCTAGCATAATTTCCATACAACGGGACTAGGAAAGGGATTGATCTCCAGTTTCACGGCCGAGATCTGAGTGAGAGATCTGATTGGTCGGTGAAACATACCGATCAACATAACGAGAGCATACAAGTAGTTGGATATACATAACTCGGTAAAGTGCAGGAATCCGGCAGAATAGGGAACTTCTGAAACGAAAAAAGACGGGAAAAGCTTTAGCCGGCAAGGACCTGTCACAGTGTGTACCGTACCAGGTATATCTGTGCCAGAAATGACAACGGCGCTCCTCTCACCTTGCCCTTGATGCCCGTGTCTGTGTTGTGGCGGATGGCCTTAGCGGCAGCCTCGAGCTCGAACGTGATGTTCTCGATGGCCTTTCGGGCCTTCTCCTCCGAGCGGCAAGCTGACAGGAGCGACACAACGAACAAAAAAACACACACCACACAATTCAACGAAATTTATGCCTGACAAAAACACATAGAGTACCACAAGACAGTAACTGGGGTTCCAGCTTCAGCAATCGCACAAAGGACTGACACTGAACGCTCCTTGGACGTACAGTAGCATAGATTTCTGCAACCTTTCGAACGCAACACAATTCCCATCTCTCTCCTGGGATGACAGTCCACGACCTTAACGTTCAGGTCGTTCGTTCGATGATGCATGCGAGTTTTAAGTCATGGCAGTAGTTGCCACCACTGTGTGCGTGAGCGGAGTACACTCGCTACTCCAGGCTGAAGTGGTGGAGACTCTCCTGAATGGGTGCGCCTCGTGGAGCCTAACAGCGGAGCACTACACGAAGCTCAACGGGACCCACCGCCAGTTCCTTACACGGTGCATCGGTTGGAGCAAGCGGAAACGCTCTGACCGCCCACTGTCCTATGCCCAGGCCGGGCAGGCTGCGAAGAAACCATCGAGGTCACCGTGCGCAAACGGAGTCTGTGTTGCGCGGGCTTTGTTATGCGCATGGAGGACAGCCGCCTCCCCAAGCGCATGCTGTTAGGAGCGATGGCGGGGGGCGTGGGATACCGGGGCGGGCAGGAGAGCGACTGGGTGTCTCGTCTAGGAGAGGACCTCGTGGCCTTCAACATGGGAGACGAAAAGGAAGGGGGTAAATGGAAAGAGAGCGCCAAGGACCCGGAGGTGTGGTAAAAAAAGGTCGAGGACGGGGCGGCATGGTTCATGAGGAAATGGCACAGGCAGGAGGCGGAAGCATCCGCGAAGCGCCAGCGCCAGCG